GGTGGAGCGGACGGCGGCGGGTTAGGGTTAGGGCCACCCGAGTCGCCCCTACGGGAGCGGCGCGGAGGCCCACATGTCCACATTTACAAAGGATTAATATAAACCACGGGTTATGATGCGCGAATTCCTTAGAGTACATCTCACACGTACGTGGTCTGCAAGTGACTAGCCAGGCTAGAAGCCATGCAAGTGGCCTGCGTCCATCCTGTGATGCTTTTGCATACTACTCCCTCCATTTTTAAATATAGATCTTTTTAGAGACTTCAACAAGTGATTACATACGGAGCAAAATGAGTGAATCTACATTCTAAAATATGTCTATATACATTTATATATGGTAGTCCATTTGAAAGCTCTAAAAAGACTTATATTTAGGAACGGAAGGAGTACGAGATTGCACAAAGATCACGTGCATGTACATTTATCAGCCAAGGGCGTCCATTTAGATTAGGTATTAGTTATACCTTCAGAGCCAGACTAGCACCGTTTAGTTGATGTAAATGGATTGAAATTTGTCATATTTAGATTAAATCCGGCCGTGCTTGAACGAACTTCATCCTGTTGGTTCGAACTGTTGTTAAAATATATGCAGCTATGATTGGATGCCGACTTTCCCCATCCATGTCCGCGGACGGGGACGCCGTGCTTGAATGAACTTCACCCGTTGGTTCGAACTGTTGTTAAAATGTATGCGACTATGGTTGGATGGTAATTTTCTTCGTCCATATCCGCGGACTAGTCCCTGTGTGTAGACGAACGGGGGAGACATTTACGGTCGCCCTCGGAGATGCCCTTACAAACTAAATTTGGCATGCACGCGCCAACATAAATTACCTTAAAAATATCCGATTTACCATACTTGAATATCTCATGTCAGATTTTTAACTTTACCGTTAAAAAAGTGTACGATAATAAAAAGCTACGTACGTCTTCATTTGTCTTGACCACACGTCCACATTTACGAAGAAATAATATAAACCTCAGATTACGATGCGCGAGTTCCTTACAGTACGTGGTCTGCTATATATATATATATATATATTCAGCTTGGTGACGCATGCATTTGGACCATCCATTCAGCTGCTACGTACTCCCTCCGTTCTTAAATGTAAGTCTTTTTAAAGATTTCACTACGAACTACATACGGGATATATATATGGACATATTTTAAAGTATAGATTCACTCATTTTGATCCGTATTTTGTCCATAGTGAAATCTCAAAAGGACTTATATTTAGGAACGGAGGTAGTATATACTAGTACATTAATTCCAGCCAGGCTAGAAGCCATGCAAGTGTATGCATGTGCATGCGCCCATCCTGTGATCCTATTACAAACGATATTGCACAAAATATGTGTCTGCACGTGTATGCACGTGCATTCATCAGTCAAGGGCGTCCATGACCTATTTTTCAGGGATCTGCTTTGTTTGATCTGAGAGAGGCGTTTGGAGGTCATCCAGTTCAACCGGCCCTTTTATTTTCTTCCTAAATGTTCGTAATGTCTGCCCGGTAAAAAAAGTTGACCAAACAGACCCCTCACTTAGTCCCTAAACATCCAGACTGACTGGCACACCTCAATCGCGACCAACTGTAGGGACGATATGAGGGCGACCGGATGTGACCGGACACCCCGCTCCAGCTCATAGCGGTCCTGCCTGCAGCCAACCGAAGATCCTTCCTCTCTCATCTCTGCACATCGTGAAGGATGGAACGGCGTTGCGAGGTGGTGTGCTTCTGCTCCGGCGCGCGCGCCAGAGAGGAGCTGGATTTCAGTTCCACCTCGCCACGCGAGGCGAACGCCGACCGGCTTAAATAGCCGCGGGGCGACAAGCTTCTCTGTTGTTGCATAGGTCGATCAATTCCCGCTCTGTGAACAAGGTAGCTTGACACTAGATTGCATTTAATAAACCGATGATTGTTCATCGAGTGCCAAGTTCATCTCATTCATATACGTTGATATCCCTACTACAATGAAAGCAAAATTTAGAATTTTCATATACGTTTTTTGGCGGGTGAAATTGTTCATATAAGTTGATAGCCCATTCGACACATTGTGATTCAAAAAGAGCCGTGGGAACATCAATGTTCTGTTTGTGAAGGAGATATACCATGACTGTTAATCTTCTTTGCGATAAGCAGAGAAGATTAATAGTATCGCAAAGAAGATTAACAGTAACAGTCCATCTCCTTAACAAATGGTGCAATGATGACTGAAGCTTATCACTTTTGGATGACCCGATAATTTATACCAGTCGACTAGCTCCTCACGCGACGAGGTGGGACTAATTGAATGTCTGAAACCCGCCAACCCAATACAGATGTGGAAATCTTAAGTACAAGGTGGGACTAAACATGCGAAACCCGCTGTCTTCGTGAGTTCCTGTGGGAGAGAGGAAGGCGAACAAGGGCGAGCGACCAGAGATCGAGACCTCCCACTTTGTGGTCAATCCAGAGATAGGGGTATGTTTGACATTTGTTGCAGGACCCACCTGACTGAGGGCAAAATAGCAAAGTTCAATGTAACATATGGCAATGGATCAATTACAATCTAAGGGGTGGCAAATTGTCAAAGCCCAAAGAAAGTTGTGAAAAAAAATATCAAAAATCCCGACATTAAATGCCCAATTCTTCCCGAGTAGGTCCAACATTTTCGCGCGCAAGGTTAGCATACGTAGCTAGAGAGTAATAAAGAGCGAGGAGGAATTTAATTTTAGTTTTCCCGATCTTTTTAAATCAAGTGCTTTATTTATCACCCATGAGAATTACAAGAGATATAAATACAATCATGAAAGATGGGAGGAATAAATTTCAACCAGAGACACCTCCTTCTTCCTCATAAGCCTGCTTTGAGCACCTATGGGGCAGCCTCATCAGCTTCACACCTAACATGTACCAAATCAAAACTCTTAAAGTCCATACTCAGATATGTGATTTTACGACACATAGATACCATGTCCTCTCTTTCATAACAAGCAAAGTTCCACAACTAAGAAGAATCTGGGTGTCACTTTTCACTATAAAGCAATGGAAGCACACATCAATAGCCAGCTTGACACCATCTCGCATCGCAAATTCTTCCATAGTGTGAAGAGGAAGTTGACCAAAAATCTCACGAGCTCAGATTTGCAAGAGAAAAGTCCACTTTACAGTCCTGGACTTGCCACTCGATTTAGGATTCAACTTTCAACTCCAAGGCCGGTTGTCCCACCCTCGAATTGCCACCTGGTTCAGAAATCGCCCCCCCCCCCTCACTCAATTGAACCCGGTTTTGACTCAGTTGACCAGTTTTGACCGTGTTGATTGCTGACTGGGCAACCCCATGCTAGCTTTCGAGTACCCAACTAGCTTTAACTGTTTTGTCTTGTTTGTATCTTTTACATTTTATTGGTCATAATAGTAATCTAAGTATATAACTCAAAACTAACTTCATGATATCACAGTTGGACTCATTGGTGATCTTTCCAGAATATTACTATCACACTCTTCTTCCGTTTATCCTCTTCATATCTCACTTTTGTTGTGTATGTACCCAACTAGCATTAACAGTCTAATGCAACACAGATTCAGCTAGCACTTGAAGAAGGGAATATAGTAGATTGCAAAGCTATATGGTTTAAGTGTATACCTCCAGGAGTGGTTTTTTAGGGGATAGGGACGTTTTGAGTGTTCAATAAGAACAAGGGAGATTACATATTGATCTAGTTTGTCGTATGGCAAGCTAGATACATACAAGGGAGTAGATCCCAAACGAATAAGTTAACTCAATACTTACATGGTTAATAACACAAACTCTAATAGCCCCCATCAATCATAACTTAATTGTAAGTTAGCTATGTGCAGATTGTGGAGGTCTTTAGAGGGTTATATAGACAAGTGTTATGATGATTGTAGGTGACTATGACTTGTATTTCTTTGAGCCAACTTGGTTCTTGGGCGGCATATAATTTATGTGGAGTAGATAGCATTGGATGGTTAGTGGCAGAAAAAATGAAGATACCAGTGAGGTGGGTTTGCTGCTTAGTTCCATTATCGTTTTTTGTCTTGTCGCGTTGTTACAGAGACTTGGTGGACTTTGTTTATTGATTGCTGATTGTTTTGGCTATATGTTTGTGTTGTTTCTTTTATCAATCATAACAATGAGCCATGTACACAACTAGCAAACCAGCTTAATTATAGTGCAATTAAACTCATCTTGATCTTTACGGAATTTATCCTCCTTAATCATACTACCACCTCCGCCCGGAAATATTTGTTAGAGAAATGAATAAAAATTGATGAATCTAGAACTAAAATACATCTAGATACATTCATTTTCTAGACAAGTAAACGTAACTAGTATCAGCAGTTTAATGCAGCAAAAAGGTTATGTATAACTATAATACATAATATATTAGTATCATCATTAAATAAATACATATGTTTTCATATTATGGGGGTGACTGACTAGATGTGGATGAATGAGCGGCATGGCAGTGGCACGGGAATGACTAGGGACCAGTCGACTGAGTTTGTTTTTGGGGTCAGTCAATTTTTTCCCCTGCCGTTGAATGCAATCTTCTTCTTCTACCTCTGAAAATATTGTTCATCGTCTTCCTCCTCCCGATCTCGATTTGAACCGCCCACAACCGTCGGCCGGACTGCCTGCCTCCTCCTCCCGTGGCCGGCGACGCTCCTGCGACCGCCCTCCCCTCAACCTCTCCCCACCACCGGTCTTGCCGTTGCCCCTGGCCATCCCTATAGCCCCACCCCGGCCATCTTTTTCTCCGGCGGAGCCCCACCACCTCGGTCACCCTGAACCCTAAAATAGATAATGGGGTGCCCCTTCCTTCCTTCTCCTTCCTTCATTCAAAATTCAGCTTGACTGACATGTAGCTAAACACACATAATATATAAAATATATTTTGCACTGGATAATGTGGGTACAATTGATTAATTAATGCAAGGAAAACAAAACACAGTGGATGGATCGGTTGTGGTCATAGACACACAGATGCAGGATCAGAAGGAGAAGGAGGAGCAACGCTGGTGGAGGTAGACGGTGCAGTCATCCTTGGGCACGATGGTGGGCATGTAGACCGGCTCGTCGCAGCCGTGGGTGGTGTGGCGCTTGAAGTCGACGACGGAGACGAAGAGCGCGAGGAAGAGGGCGAGGTGGTTGAGGGCGTAGCGCTGGCCTATGCACTGGTGCGCGCCGGCGCCGAAGGCCAGGAAGTTGCGCTTGAAGGCCTCGTCCTCCCGCCGCGCCTCCGAGAAGAAGCGGTCCGGGTCGAACGCCTCCGCCTCCGTGAACCCCTGGAACGACGACTCGTACACCGACGGGAACACGATGGCGCCCTTGGGCACCGTGTACCACTCCGTCAGCTGGAACGCCTCCGCGGCGATGTGCGGCACCAGCGTCGCCGGTGGCCGGTACCGGACCACCTCGCGCGCCACCGCGTGGGTGTACCTGAGCTGCACGAACTTGTCCGCCGTGATGGGCTCCCCTGACTCCGGCGACCACACCGCCGACACCTCGGCGCGCATGCGGGCCACCACGTCAGGGTGGGACCCCAGGGCGGCCACGGCCCAGCAGAGCGAGGAGGTGGACGCGTCCTGGGCCGCGAAGAGGAAGTCGAACAGGTAGCCCCCGAGGTCCTCGTCCGCGGTGTGCTTGGGAAGCGGCCGCCCCGCCGCCGCGGCCTCGTCCATCTCCTTCACCAGGCCCTGCATCCAGTAGTCGACCAGGCACTCCGGCTCGCCGCCGGCGCGCATCCGCGCCTTGCTCTGGCCGACGCACTCCGCGAGCGTGCGCACCAGCCGCCCCACGGCCAGCCTCGCGCGCCGGAACGCGAAGCCGGGCAGGTCAACGGGCAGCGCGATGACGCCCACGTTGAAGATGGCGTAGTCCTCGCCGAACCTCGCCCTCGCCTCCTCGGTGAGGTAGGGGCCCACGAAGACCGTCTGCGAGGTCTCCAGGTTCATGTCGCGGCAGGGAACCCGTATGGGCACCGGGGTCGTAGGAGACGTGTGGTCGAGCAGCCTGCGGATGTGGGCGAGGACGATGCGCTGCTGGATGGCGGCGTAGGTGGAGAGGGCGCGCGGCGTGAAGGTGGGCGCCATCCGGCGGCGCAGGTCCTTGTGCTCGTCGCCGAAGAGGTAGATGAAGTTGTGCTCGCCGAAGAGCTTCTTGCCGAAGGGGTGGCCGACGAAGTGGAAGGCGTCGGGGCGGACGTTGGCGAAGACGCGGTGGGACAGCTCCGAGTCGCGGACGAAGAGGATGAAGCGGCCGACCAGGAAGTCGGCAGCCAGCCCGGCGCCGGAGTCCCTGGCCCGCGCCGCCTGCACCTCCCAGAACCCGGTGGGGTCGCGGATCATGGGGACGATGCTGCCGAGGAAGGGCAGGACCAAGGAGGGGCCTGGGAGGACCCCCTTCTTGCGTTGGTACGACAGCTGCTCCACAAAAAAGTACAAGGCCACCGCCGCCGCCACCAACGGCGCCGCCGCCCGCACGCAGCCCATGAAATTGAAACCCACCGGCAGTGGCAGAGGGAGCAACTCCATCATCATCATCATCATCGATCCATCTCTCTCGATCCTGCACTTATAATACTTATATATAATAGTTAGAGAAGGGAGTGGGCCGGCTCGCCATCGGATCCTCCATCGATCGGAGAATATCTTTTCCTTGTGATATTTTTAAAAAATGCATAAGAAGATCCTCGATGATACTACTTGCTACTCCATCCGTTCTAAATATAAGCCTTATAAAGATTTCATTATAAACTACATACGAAACAAAATAAATGAATCTGTACTCTAAAATGCATCTATATACATCCGTATGTGGTTTATAGTGCCATCTCTATGAAGACTCATATTTAGGAACGGAGGGAGTACTTGCTTAATTTGTTCAACTACCTCTTATGTTACAATGCTTCGTTTTGTCCCTCAATTCTCAGAGGCACAAATAAAAAAACGAAATTTTAACTGCTCCTTATCTAAAGAGGAAATTCGGTACACGGTGTTTCAGACGGAACACGATAAGCCTCTAAGGCCAGATGGTTTTCTAGCCGAGTTCAATCAAGTTTTCTGGGATGTGATTAAGGCGAACTTGGTATACTTGTTTGACCAACTGCATATAGAAAACCTTGATTTAATTTGTTCAAGTACTGAAGTTTGAAATCCACATCACACATGTGGTTAGCAATCTAAACAATACAAATGGTACCGGACCCTCTGCTCCCTCTCTGATTTCATCACTAGAGATCCTTGATACTTACTTAATTTGTTCAAGTACCTGACCCTTTGTTCATGTATGCAATGTAGGTTTTGCCTCCTGCTGGTTGATCTGAAAGAACCATCACTCACAATGTCACGGAGGATGAGGATAGCACCACCATCTGAGATGTGTCAAAGAGTAAATAAATTACGTAAAACCACTGTCTTCAGGGTCCAAGTCTGCTTCAAACCTTAAAGTTAGGACGCCGATAACACACATATGTTCAGAATTTTGGATGTTCGTGCCGAACGACCCCGTTCGGACTGGTAGTGGATGGAGCCGAACGAAACCGTTCGGACATGATCGCTTATCCCCCGAACGACCCAGTCAGCGCGCGACCGAGTCAGCTCGCGACCCAGTCCACGACGCGTGGCCAGCTGAATCAGGCAGGTGATCACCAAACATCCAGAAAACACGATCATCACCCTCTTCCATCCCTCCCGATCCCCTCGCAGTTCCTTCCTCCTCTCCATCGCCGGCATGGCTCTCCGTGAAGTTTCCATTTAAAGATCTGCCGATCTGTAGTCTAAATTGAGCTGCCAACCAGGTTCTCCTCCTCCATCCCCACCCGGTTCCCTTCACAGTTCCATCCCGCTCTCCATTGCAGGACATTGATTTCCATGAAGTTGCCATGGCAAGATCTGGCAACCTGTAGCCCGAATTG